TATATAAAAGTGTAAACATATTTATACAAATTATAATATAAAAAAAAAAGGAGGAAATAAATTACAGAAAAAAAAGACGAGAGAAACAAAAAAAAAAAAATTACAAGAATAAAGGAAAAAGAAAGAAAGAAACTGTTAATTAAATTCATTTAAATTCATTTAATTATTGTTCAATAAAATCTTGTTCCCTGATAGTTGAAGGAGCAATACCAAAATTTTCTGGGTAAGAAAGATCTTGTTCTATACAAATTACTCTAATAAGGGCATAATGATGAATCTAGATAAAAATAAAAAAAAAATGAAATATGTATATAAATGGATATAGATAATAATAATTAAAGTTAATTCAAAATTCAAAAAAAAAAATAATAATAATAATAAGATTATTATTCGACAATAACAAATAAAACTTACTGCATGAAGACAACAAAACCACAATTCCCTTCCGTAAGTTGATTGTAGCGGTACACTATTATCTATTAATGGATCGGAATCAACGGTAACACTAATATTTATTGGTGTACTAAGTGGAACTGTAGTACAATCATTTGTAATAGTTGATTGTAATTGTTCTATTTGTTTAATGGCTAACATACGCGAAGTCTCTATTGAACTCTATAAATGATATATTTAAATAAGATATAAAATGGGATATGAATGGGATATAAACAAGATATAAACAGGATAAAAATGAGATAAAAATGATAAACAAATAATACGTAAAATATATAAATATATGAAAAGATCAGGTATAGAAGAGAAAAAAAAATACACACTTTACGATTTCTATTATCATAATCTAAATTCCAATTCGGAGGTTTATCCATCAAATCAAATTTATCAGTAGTATATCCTAATCTTTGTAGTGATAAAGGTTTTGATTCAAAAAGTGATTTGAAATGATCACACACGTGTCTAATTAAAATTATTTAAAATTAAATAAATATTTAATAATTAAAATTAAAATTATTAAAAATCAAAAATTAAATTAGATGAATAGTTAAATTAATAAAAATTAACAGTTAAATAATAATAATTTATTAATAATTTTACTTTACCTTAAATGTTTTCCTATTGTACTTT